CCAATAGTTCAATTTTCTACAAGCATTTTTGCGCACAAATAAAAATTTCATAAACGAAGTCAAAACCTTTATATGTATTATTGCCTACCAAACAATTGCCTACAAGCACTTTTGCGCACAAATATAAAATTAAGATTAAATTATGTAAAAAAATAATTCGTATTTTTAAAGCAGAGAATTTGTGTTTTAAATCAGAGAATTTGTTTTAAAACAAAGAATTTGTGTTTTTAAAGCAGAGAATAGTATGTAGGCAATCGAGCTGTACGGGCAATAAGTCTTGGTCTATAACTTTTCTATTCTTACGGCCTTAAAGCATAAGTTCTGTGGCCGATATATCGTCACTTACATCTTACAGCTTACGACTTAGGGCCTCGTAAAGCAAAGTTGTGGACTTAGCCTAATGCATGTAGATAATCGAGCTGTAGATAATAATACATGTAGGCAATTGAGCTGTAGGCAATAATACATGTAGGTAAATGTGACTTTGTTTCTGAACTTTTTGTTTGTACGCAAACGTGCTGTTGGCAAAAGTGATGTAGACAAACAATGTTGTAAACAATCGATTGTAAGCAAATGGGATCCTTTTTAGAACTGGTTATTTATATATGCGGTAAAAAAAGATTTGTCCAAAATAACTAAAACTTCACTGGTTCAATAAATCTACAGTCATAATATACGGATAGCCAGTTTTCTATGTTAATAAACTAACTTGTACAGCTGAATAAAATCAGCGATTATAGATAATTATAGTGATATATATATTTAGTGATTCAAGATTGAATTATTTAAAGTATTTTAAGATCTAACTTCGACCGCAGAAGGCTCTAATTTATCGGTGTGTCTCTCATATACACGGTCTAAAAATGATATTATGTTTATTCGTCGCCCCGAGTATGACGTTATTTTCCTATACATATATACCGATTATTGTGAAGAATATTACTAAGGCCTCGGTAGTTTAATGGCTCAGGACGCTCGTACGGAATACAAGAGATCCGGGTTCGACTCCCGGCCGAGGTAATATTTTTCGCAATAAGTTTAATTACAGTTTTTTCAGCATATTAACATCTTTGAAACATGATGCCTGATTGAGCATCGAAATTATTAGAATTTAATTTAATTCGCGAAATTACTACACGTGGTTTAATTGTGTTTAGTCCGGAAATATTTCGGTGCACAGTTCGTTAGACTACAATTATGATATGTATGTCTAGTACATACATATCATATTTAGTGATTCAAGATTGAATTATTTAAGCATTTTAAGATCTAGCTTCGACCGTATAGGGCTCTAATTTATCGGTTGTGTCTCTCACATACACGGTCTAAAAATGATATTATTATAGATAATTATATTTGTTATAATTACATAGTAAATTTGTTAATGCAGAATGCAACAAAAAATAACTTTCTACAACAATCAATCCAATATATAAATCAAAATTTTTAATAAAACGTACTAGCTAAGATGGCGCATACTTTAGCTACTTTAATAAATAAAACTTATGTTACACATTAACAATTTTCATTGTAGCAAATAATTAACTAAATCATCATATTGATAATTAGTATAATTACTTACAAAAATAATTTCTTTGTTTACCATCAAATCTTTTTAGTTATAGATAGATGTTGAACTCGCGCAGTAAGCTATATATAGCTTTGCTGAATCACAATCTATATTTTTTTCCATATAGTCGATTCTTGTTTTAAGCTCATCTTAAATCATGTCTCAAGATGCTAATTAACTTATGATATTTTAAGACAGTCTTAAATATAAAAACCAACTACGAATATCGGCCTAGAATCTGTTCGTAGATCTATAAGTATTGGGTCAAAACAAAAGTTCGTAGCGCTACGAATTTCAAAGTTTAAGCAGAACTGTATAACTTCATTAAAAATGAACGAAATTTTAAAACTTAAAAAACTTTTAAGACAACTTTCAGATCATTCAGTTCTTTATGAAATATTTTAAAGATGTTTTTTTAAAGAACTTTTTTAAAGATATCTTAAAGTTATTATATGCATTGATTTTAGACATTCTGCTAAATAAGTTACTTTAATGTAATGACAAATGGAAATATTTCATCTTAAAATTCGCATAGTCATAAATCAATGCATATGTATAATTAATAATTTCAAGTAATCAGAGTATTTTTTAAGATAATTATACTGATGTACACGATCATTTGTCTTAATGTTAGTGAGCGTATGAAGTGCGCGATCACTATCGATGCGTGACTTATGGATGGGTTTCCGTTTAATCATGATCTATATAATTGGTTTTAAACTTTTATATTTCAAAAATTACTGCTCGGAACAAAAAATGGCAATTACTTTTATAACTTTTTTAAGAACTTTCTTGCTATGATTCTGATTCGCGAATTTCCGGACATCTTGTATAATAGACTGGACATTTTACATGAACCTTCATATAATCTATAAGTTTATATATTTATATAAGCCTTTTGAATGCTGCATTCAGCCGTCACGCACATCATAATAAACCTATGACGTTATAAACTGTTCGTTATATAAGTTTTTTTTTAAATTTTTGTTCAATTACTTTAAATCAACAAAACAGTTTTTAGTGCAAATATTATATATGTATAATTACTGTTATTTTTTTACAAAATTAAATAATTTCTGAAGCAGAACGCGAACGTAAAGATCTCATTATGTTTCTCTTCTCAATATTATTTTTATTCTGTAATTGAAGACAATTTTTTTATAAGCTTTTTTCATAAGCTTTTCAAAACGAACCCAGATGAAAAAAATTGTTAAACTTGCAATATTGCTAATCTCTCGTCGATATCTTTCATCCGAGACTTTTGTTTTCATGATTCATTGCCTACGTTTATTCATTCATATGAATAATGTACGGAGTGTACAGAGTCTGAATCTCTTCTCGGTGTTATATTCCTTACTCCAAGCGCTGCTTAGAATAGAAACTGATAATGAGAAAATGATACTGCTCTATTGATTTAAAGTAACTGAATATATTGATACGTCAAATTCTTGATATGACGCAAAACTGATACAATGTTTATTATTCGTTTACATGTTGACGTATTTTCATATGAACTCTTAAAATGCTTGTTTTTTTATCATACGAAAAGAACGATTTTTCTGAAATACCTAAAAATTTAGCTGAATACAGATCTCATAAAAATATAATTTTGTTGGATCAAAATATTTATGAAAAAACTTGAGCACGATGAGCATACAAAATATTTTGATATTCTAACAACTAGCTTGAGTATTTTTCGTAATTATATGGTCTAACAAAATTATCTGTATCTAGATAAATTTTTAGATACTTCAATAAAACTGTTCTTTCCGTGCATAAATGACGAAAGTCCTTAGTTCAATGATTGCAGATCACAACAGTAAATTCAAATGGTTAAGTCTAATTTTAAGTTTATTGAAACTCGTGTGACTTTGACCAAATTTTTCGCGCAAAGTGATAAGACTTATTTCAAATGTTGTAAACATTAAACAGTTCTTTGCATGTATTTATTTTCATTAATTATCGCATAACTAATAAAGAAACTCTTTTCTGTTCACATCTTTTAATCAAATCAAGCTTTCAATAAAAAAGAGGCCTTGTACTTCAAAGAAAGGTGTCGAAAAAGGTCTTTGAAAAAGTCGAAAAATTTAATTCTGTTTACCTAGATGTTTTAAGTATATTAGCGCATCGTTATGAAAACGGAATACATAATTTGAGCACCTACGCAGTACGAGAATGTTTAGGGGAGTATATTTTTCAACTGGTATTAAACGCGATACATTTGATTTTCTTGTAGCTCTTTGTACTAAATATGATTTTATAAAAAATTTGGTAGAGTATCAAATTATTTCTACTTATCGATGCATGTCATGTGGTGATACAAAAGTTACTACTAATAATAATTTTATTCTCTCAATTTCTATTAACAATTTGAACAATAAAAGTTTAAATCTTAACGATTTACTAAATACTTCATTTTCACATTGGTTTAAATTAAATGACAAATTATGTGAACGTTGTGGAAGAAATGATATATGATTTAAAAATAAAGTAACATTGGCAAAACAGATAATTATTATTCATTTAATTTCATTTTTATTATAAAATGGAACATTAGTGAAGATACCACAAAAAATTAATTTATGTGCTCTTCTGACAAGTAAAATATTAATAGCTGGACAGACATATAAAATTAAGAATGCTATATTTCATCATGGTCATTTTATAAGTATATATTTTATATTTGCAATGGAATTCAACATTAAATCTTAAAAACGAAGCAGCATAAAAAATAAGAAAATTTTATTAAAATAGCATAAGTTTTTATTTAAAAAAGTGAAAGTACAAAAAACTTGACGCTGGCAAATATAAAATTATAGAAAATATATATTTCGAGAAAATATATGTTCTTTTCGCAATTGGCGCAATTTAAAGATTTCATTTCATTTTTTTTTTGTTGAAATATGAGGGTAAGTCAATAAGTTTTTAGAAAAACATAGTAAAACACATTTTTTTTGATCGATTCATTTTTATTTCTCAACATAGTCTCCTTTCAGCTCGATACATTTGATCCAACGATTCTTCAACTTTTTCAAGCCGTCCGAATAATATGATTTGTCCAACCCTTCAAAATAAGCCTCTGTTTCGGCGATGAGCTGCTCTCTGATGGTGAATCTCTTTCCTCCGAATCATTTTTTCAGGTTTGGAAACAGGAAATAGTCGCAGGGGGCTAAATCTGGCGAATATGCTGTATGGGGAAGCAATTCGTAGCGGAATTCGTTGAATTTGGCCATCGGTGCCGGGCACGTGTGAACCCGTGCATTGTCTTGATGGAAGAGCACTTTCTTCTTCGCCAAATGGGGACGTTTTTTCTTTAAAATGTTGTTGAAACGGTCCAATAAGGCTGCGTAGTAATCATCATTGATCGTTTGCTTCGACGGAAGGTAATCGATATGAATTATACCATGTGCATCCCAAAAAACTGTGGCCATCACCTTTCCGGCCGAGACTTCACGGTTTTCGCCTTCTTCGGAATTAGTTCACCCAGTGAAGTCCATTGTTTTGACTGTTCCTTCGTCTCGGGTATGAAGTAATGGATCCATGTTTCGTCCACAGTAATGAATCGACGCAGAAATTCATCTGAATTACGTTGAAACATCTCCAAACATTGTTTTGAAATCGTCACACGGTCGCGCTTATGGTCCACAGTGAGCAAACGCGGCACCCATCTTGCCGATAGCTTTTTCATACCCAATTGTTCGTGCAAAATTGAAATCACTGTGCCATGTGATATGCCTGTGGCCTCAACAAGCTCGCGCATGTTCACTCGTCGATCAGTTAAAACAATATCGTGGATCTTATCGATGATTTCTGGTGTAACAGCCTCAATTGGACGTCCCGAACGAGGTGCATCACATATAGATGTACATACGACCACGTTTAAATTCATTCACCCAATTGTATACAGTCGCAAATGCTGGTGCAGATGTGCTATGAACATTATCCAACTTGGCTTTGATATCTTTCGGCGTTAAAATATGTAGATAAGTAGATGTCTTTCATATGTAAATGTTTGATCACTGCACGAAACTTGTTTTTTTCCAAAATTTTGCAAAAAATACAAAGGTTGTTCACTTTAATCGTCTACAGAAATGAAACCACGCGATAAATTCCGCTCAAAATTTGACAGTAATCAGCTGAAAGATGCTACTTGTCAAAAAGTAACGTGACATGACATTGCGAGTGCCCTCTGATAGATTTTCTAAGAACTTATTGACTTGCCCTCGTATATGTACTGCAGAGATGTAATTTATAATATTGTAAAATAATTTGTGTAACGGCTTTTTTGTGAGATAATGACGCACTTAGTGCCATTTTTTCCTTTTTTTTTAAAAAATAATTTTGTTGAGTTTGTACAACCGTTGTATTTAACCGCAAATTATATAAGTTCGTAAACATCTAAATTTATCGAATACCGGTTTCGATTCTTGATTGAGCCTTGAGTGAGGTTGCTTATAAGATGTTAATTGGTTCTATTAAACTAATTATAATATTCAAGACAATCTTAGTAGATAGAAAAAACGGGGGGCGAGTCGAATGCATACCAGAAACGCGACTGATTGTGAGTGAAAGTCGATCGTGAACTTCGGTGTTTCTTTCCTACGGAATAAAAATCCGAATGGATGGCCGTCTTTAACGTGTCAGGTTGTATAGGCGTAATGACGAAATGAAAAGAAAGTGACAGGCGAACATGCGCAGCGGCGTACTATGGGACTCTGGAAATTAGAAATCTTTTTTTTACTACACTGTATAATTAAGATGTAATAAGTTCTTCTTGAAAAGAGAATTTCTTTTCTGATTATATTAGAAAGAATAATAAAATACAAAGATTGTAAAACAATGAAGTCATTAGTTTCTTTTTAAATTATTTTAAATTGTAATTATCATAATATTAATCAATAAAATTATTTTGATATCAGAAATTGAAAGTAATCAGAAAACAAATATTAAAATAAGAAATATAAATAAGATTCGAATTAAAATAAGATAGGCTGAATTTTTAAGAAGCCTGTTTTAAGAAGAACATTTTGCCAATAAAATTGTGAAAGAAAACCTGTCGTGGATAACATTTCGTATATTTTTACTTTTTAAACAAGATTATTATCTTATTAATGGTTATTACATTTAATAAATATATAAATGATTTATTTAATTTAATTTTTTCCTTGGAGTTCGTAACATACGCATAATGTGTAATTACAAGAGATACTAATGTTTTGCAGTAATTCATACACTCTATCTAAACACGTAACTAGTTATGTTACATCTAGAATAGAAAGAGCTTGGGCGCGGAGAATTTCGACGGATATACGCAGCTCTTTACTTTCTCCGACTAACAAACTCCGGGAATCCGGATGAGGAAATTCAATCTATTCTCTCTCTCACGTGTACAGGTTTGAGTTAAGTAATACAGGCAAACTAATATAAAGCCACAGATTCAGTATTTCTGTACAGCCGTTTCTGTACAAAATTAGATATTAATTGAGCTCTATAAAGCTAGCAGGACCAAATCAACAGAATCAAATCAGACCTATCGGAATTTTTAGTACTCATTTTAATAAATTATACCATTAATGGTACAATTTTGTATCGTGTGCCATTTCGAAAAAAATTGTGGCCGTCCTAGCTTAATATTAAGCTGGCAGGACCAATTTAAAATAAAAGAAAAAAGAAAAATAAATTAATAAAGGAAAACTAATGCCAATGAGAGTCGACCCAATTGTACGTGTGTAAGCTAAATATAATATATATATCAATCACCAATTACAGACGTTTCGGCCATTTTAAGTCCTCCTCAAAGTATAAGTAACAAATATCAGAGTCAAGTTAATACGTTGTAAGAAGATAGACAGATACAATCATTGAATCATCGTTAGGCTATTGTCCAAAATTAAAAACTTTGTTGTCGTCTGTCGTACTTAGCTGGATACTTAAACCAGAATTCTGTAATTTAATTAAAATCGAATTAACATTTGAAATTTTTGAAATACTTTTCATAGTCGATGAGTTAAAATTAATTAAATCAGTTAAAAAAAATTTACATTATATTTAGCATTACGATGATCCGTTATAACGCGTGATGTGATTATATCTATGTCTTGAGAGCGTGTGAAAGGACATTTCATATTCGCAGTGTTTGTATGCATAAATGTTAAATAGAAAAAAAATAAGAGATCGATTTTAAAGATCTTAAATTATTCTACACGTATTTCGCGAAAAAAATAATTCATATAGAACTCATATAGATTCTATAGAACAATTTAAAATCTTTAAAATCGGTCTCTTGCATTTTTTTGTACGACTAATGATTCGACGATATAATAATTAAATATTTCCACGAGTAACGTTTTTTTATGAATTTCTGCAACTTACAAGCGAGAATAACTTTACAAAAAAAATCTCAAATTTTTTCGCGAAACACATGCCTCATGTTTTTATCTGTAGTAATATGTTAGCAAATTAAAAAAAAAATGAAATGACGATGTTTCAAAGATATCCGCGTTTGACGTGGAGTGCCTCATAGATTGTAAGTATGTATTAATAAAGTCATTTTAAGGAGAAAACATATAAAGTATTAACTCACTTTCAATGATACAAATTAATACAAATTCAGTTGTGTTAATTTTTGCCGTTGTATTGTTTTTTTATGGTTCTGTCAGCTTAAATCTATGTGCACGTAACGTAAAAAAAATAGCATTTTCAGTGTTGACAGTTAATTTGGAACACAACCTAAATTAGCAGCGTAACTGTTTTCTTGGAAACGACACATAATATGGAATTGTTTTCGATAGTACAAAATAGTACAAATTTAATCCTATTGATTTCTGATATTATTTTTCTTTTTTTCTTTTATTTTGAATTGGTCCTGCCAGCTTAATATTAAGCTAGTATCGCCACGATTTTTTTCAAAATGGCACATGGTACAAAATTATCATTAATGGTACAATTTAGTGGACAAAATGAGTACTAAAAATTCCGATAGGTTCGATTTGATTTTGCTGATTTGGTCCTGCTAGCTTTATAGAGCCTATTAATTGTAAGTGTTGAGCTAAGAATCATGTTTCATTTTTTGATTACAGTTCACTGAAAATACTTTCATTACTCTAGAAATTTTATTTAATTATTAATGGACTTGTGTTTATCAGTTAATCTCTACAACGATTTTACTTCAGTTAGAACTTTAAAATTTTTTCTGTGAGATTATTAAAATTTTACATTTAGAAAACTGTTCAAATTTATGACATGTACAAAATAAAATTTTTGTTAACATTAAATTAGCTAAGAAAATTTTTTATTTCTGGTAACAGCGATAATTGTTATTTCTAAGTAGACAGAGTCTAACACGTTAATGCATGTTTTTCTATGACACTGATGCGCAATTCTTCATCAAAGATGGACCAGCGTTAATTACCTGCGAAAACGTTTCGTGTTTTTCCACTTAACTAAATATTGCGTCAATAACCATGACTTGAGTATTGACTCATAATGTAATTTAAGTGGTAAGTAACGGGATTGTTAATCCGATATACACAATTTATTTTGAAAATTATTGTAATCTTTACAGCACTCTTTTGTGTTGTGTTTATATTTAGAAGAATGATTAGAACTTTTTAATTGATTGTTTACATAATAAAAATCTACTCGGAAAGAATGATTTTGTATCGATAAAGTATCTAAAAATTTAATTAGATACATATTTGAAAATAATTTTGCTGGGCCATTAAAATAATTATCTAAAGAACTCAAGCATAATGAGCAATGCTATAAAAAGTTTTGATATTCTAGCAATCAACTTGAGCGTTCTGTATAACTATCTTGATAATCCAACAAAATTGTGTTCAGATCTGTATCTAGCTCTATTTTTATGAATAAATCTTATTCTCTTATTATTTTAAATAAAATATGTACAAGAAAATTGGTATGTTCGAAGTGATTGTTAGGTTAGGTTCATGACAAACAAACTTATTCGAGAAAGAAGGAATCGCTGTGTATATATTAGCTACCGCAAATATTAACTTTTTCTTCTTAAATACGATTTCCGTGCATGCTATTTATCGTGTCCGAGATTCGTCGTTGCAACAACGACGATGTTTCATCGTCTTCTTGTCGATCAGTCTAACAACTCACTGCTCACTTTCCAAGTAAGGAAAGAGGTCACACGTGTGACAGTAACCCCGAATACATATTTGTATGACGATTTGAGTGCATTGTAGCCGGGAAGAAGGAAATTCTCTCATTTACGAGAGTCTCGCTTTCATTTTCGCATCTGCGCGCGCGCTGCTGTTTTTTTTTAATTTTTTTCTCTCGGAAAATTTAATCGACCCTCGGCATGCACCGGACATACTTGGAGCGGGCGCGCTTCCGCGTCGAAGCGGCTATTCCAATACGAGTTAAGCGTCGGGCTCATTATGAGCCAACGCGGAAGACTCAACACGGTGGTGGCCAACGGTGCGGCGTGGCGCGGCGCAACATTACGCAAACGCACAAGAAAGATTCCACTTGCACAACACGCAACGCGTTATTACGCTCACGTAACTTTATATATACTCATGGCATACGTCGCGAGATGTCCCCGTCGTTACTTTTACAGCAATATCGCTTAATCGCTCGTTAAGGAGTCGCAAATCTTTATTTCGCGGCCGCGTCCTCACGGGACACGCAGAAGTTGCTTTCGGAACGAGAACAGCCGATGCACGCATGCGGTCGGTCTCGAATGACTACACTTTCAAGGTTCCGCGGAGAGACAAGCTGTTTGTCGAGACAGTGGAAACATTTCTATAAAATCGTTTATAATGATTTTTTAACTTTACGTAAGAAATATTAAATTTTTTTCTAAAATATTAAACATAATCTTACGAGAAAATTTCCCTTAAAAGTTGCGCAAAACAT